AGCTCTTCCACTTGGAAATTAAAGTCTTACTTTAAGACTTTAAACTTAAGTCTTAAAGTTAAGAAAATAAACTTAAGTCTTACACAAAATAGAAAATACAAACAAAAAGGTTACAGAATTTCTGAAAATGATAAATACATCTACGGAATGCATTCTAAGCAGTGATCAGAGAAAATTTCACAGCACTAAATACCAGTAGGAAATGGAAGATTAATTATATTTCCATCTGAAAAAGCCTAAAACAACAAAGTAAAACAAGAAAGCCCATGGAAGAAAAAATAAATACAAGAAAGAAATTAACAATGGAACACTTGAGAGGTAGAAAAAAGTTGCATCAAATCCGTGAGTAAAATCCTGTAAAAACAAAAATATCAACAAAGAATGTGCTAGTTTAATTTTAAAAAAGGGGGGCCAAGTATAAATATATAGAATAAGAACAAGTAGCTATTGCTAGAGAAAAAAATTACAACATAAAAAACTTTTCACTCACTTCAATGAAAATACATCTGAATACCTAGAGGACACGAACACTTTCTTAGAAAAATACAGCAAAATGACTCCTATACAATTAAAGAAAAACAATTTGCATAAAACAAAAAGTTATCAAGGAGTTACTCCACAAAAAAGCACCGGGCTCTGATGGTTTCATAAAGGAACTGACATTTTTCTGCATAAAAATTTTAAAAGTTTGTATGACCAAAACAGAAAAGTCAAAATCACACAAAGACATAAAAGTGGTCCTTAAATATGAATTTTAACTTCACTAATAGGAGAAACGAAAGTTAAAGCTACAATGAGATATCATTTCTTACCATCTGATTGGCAAAACTCAAAAGCTTGACAATCGATTATTATTAAAGCTTTGGGGAAACAGTCTCACACATTCCTTGTGGGATCTGAATTGCCACCACCTTTATGGAAAGGGATTTGGCAATTATCTAATAAAGCTACACATGCATATGTCCTTTAACTTAGTAACTCCGCTTCTAAGAATCTACTCTGAAGGTATACCTCAAACAAAACAGAAATGTGTAAAGTCATTCATTGTAACATGTTATTTTGCAAAATACTGACCACCACCTAAATGCCTGAGCACAGTGGGTTGATAATATAAAATAAGGTACTTAGACACCACGGAACACTGGACATCTAGAGGAGGGCAGGAAGGGGGGGGGGCATAGAGAGATCTGTGAACTTACATGGAGTGGTTACCAGAGATGTTTAGTGAAAAATGCAGTCAATAAAAGCATGAATGTGAAACAGCTAACAAGCACATGAAAAAGTGCCCAACTTCATTTGTGAGGGAAATGCAAATGTAAACCACCAGATACCGCTTCGTATCTACAAGAATGTCTATAAAAAGTTATTCACAAACTTCGGTGAGGATGTGGAGAAACAAGAACTCTCCTACGCTGCTGGTGGGAATGTAAAATGATACAGCCACTTGGAAATCACTTTGACAGCTTCTTAAAAAGTTAAATATAAATTTATCATACGACCCAACAATTCCACTTAAAAAGAAAACCATGTCCACATAAAGACTTGCAGGTGAATGTTCACTGCAGCATGATGTACCACGGCCAAAAAGGGAGAAACCCAGATGCCCACTTACTTTTAAATGGACAAACATGCAGTTTAAATAATAGAATACTACTCAGCAATAATATTGATAGGAATGCTGATATATGCAATGACATGGATGGACCTCGAACACACACTAAGTAAAAGAAACCAGACTCAAAAGGTAACACAGTATAATTCTACCTACATGAAATGCCCAGGAAACTCTATAGACCGGAAGTAGTGCTTGGTTGCCTGCAACTGGGGAGGAGCCAGGGTGTGGTGGGAACAAGGATTAACTGGAACCAGCCTGGGGAATGTAACTGGGATGATGAAAATGTTCTAAAACTCAAGTACTGTGGTTGGAACGCACAACTCATAAAATGAGTGAACGGTGTAGCACTGAATTATACAGCTCAATAATTTTTCTTAAAAGGATATCTATGTGAATTTTATGGGATGTAAATTACTCATCAATAGTTATTTTTTTAAGAGCATGTACAGAGAATGACTGACCCTACCAGTTTACCTGGCTTGTCCACTTTTAGCTTTATCTGAAAGTTGTATCTTAAGGCTCAGTCCTAGGCAAACACATCAGGACTGGTGTCCCTAACTGTAGGCTGCCTTTTGTGTAAGAAAGAGGGGGGTCTCAGAAAACACACTTGGTGCTTTTCTTCCTAAAAAGGATCACGGAGGAAAAAACAAACAGTGAGGCTGGACACCTACAGGGGGTGGGGGAGCTGGGCAGAAAATGAGTGACAGTTCTCTCGGTTCTGACTTTTAGAAGCATGCTACTGTTCAAGATATAAAAAATAAAATTAAAGGTGGGAAGTTTGTGGGGGAGGGACCTTAAACTGAGAAGAAAACTGAAACAAATGAACCCAATTTATTTCAAACAAATAACAATTACAGTGATAGAGAAAAAAAAGAATGACTCAAAATAATTTATGAATACGGAATATAATCATACATCCTTAGTCTCGGGCAGGGTACAGACAGGGAGAAAATACAATCTCACAGGCTTTTAAGCATGTATTTTACAGTGATATGGGCAGAAGCAGGAAAAAACTACTTTAGATATATTACAGGACTAAATGAATGAATATACTGACGGACTTTTTGGGGAAGAAGGGACACAGAAATACAGAATGAGGAAGGAAGGAAAGAACCCTATGAGGATGGGTTGAAATTGGAGGTATTAGTGTGAATGCATGATTTCTAAAATCAAATATGGGTGGGAGCCCATGTAACATGCATGTTTATGTGCATATGTGTATACATGAACATTTCCTAGTTCTGTCTGCTGCAGAGGCTGAGCAGCCGCAAAATACCGAGTAATGATGGGCACGCCCAACAGCCAGATAGATCTACGCATCTATCATCCCCAAGGATTCCTTGAAAAAATTGCTGATTCCAGATCCTGGAGCACCTTTTATTTAAAATAATGTGCTAAAAATAATTTTTTTAAAAAGCAGATGATACAAGGAAATAGAGGAGCCAGAATGAAGAAGCTCCTGCTGGCCAAATCTAAGACAATTTAAGCACCAAAGAATTTAAGCACCAAAGTGAAGTATGAAACACAAGCCATTAAAAAAATAGAAAACCAGGAGTCCAAAACAATAGCTACTGTAAAAAATTCACATGGGCACACAGGGATGAGTGAAGGAGAAAGGAGGAGGACTCCTACCTACAGAAGAAGGCTAAGTGCTAACTGGTACATGAGGAAGAAATGCTGGAATTGGACAATCATTCCCCGACTATCCAAATAAAGGAGTGAGAATCATCAGTGGATGCTGAGGGGAAATGTTGTTGTTAGCATGGCCTTAAAAGAGTCTCCCACAGACTGTTCCTTACATGCATGGTAAAAAACAAAAACAAAAACATAAAAAAATAGTAACTACACACTTTGGAGAAAATGAACAACATCCTGACCTGGTGACTGAAATTAACTTTGCCAACGATGAGCAGACGTGACACCAGTGTGGTGCTCTAAGAGTGCGTAACCTGAATCTAATGATGAAACCCCAGAAAGGGGGTAGAGGAGATGGAAGACTGTATTCTTCAAGAACATACTACATTAACGCCATGAAAGACAAAAGGGGTCACGGGGAAGAGCCAGAGTAAAGGAGACTTCAGGGAGGGAAACAAGCAAATGTTAAAATAAAAATGGCAGAATCTTAGTAATGGGTGAATCTGGGTAAAAGAGGTATAAATGTTCTTTGTACTAGTCTTATTTTTACCAATTTTCTGTACATTTGAAAACATTTCCATAAAACGTTAAAAAATAATTAGAAGAGACTAATCTTGGGTTGCCAATCTCATGTTTTGCCTAATATGGTTACTAAAACGTAGTTATTAAAAAAAAAGACTACCATCTATGATTTGGTCATTTTGTTTAAAGAAAGTATGAGGGACATTTTAAACATTTAAAAATAGCCATCATCACCAAATAGAAGAGTGACCCTTTAATATAAAATTTAGATTTCTGAAAAAGACATCGCATTGTCCTAGCTTCTCTGACTCCCCTGTGGACCAAGGAGCACTCCCTCAGCCTGGTGTTGGGGAATCAGTATTCTCACCAAGGTCCATTTTTGGCAATGGATGAAGTAGTTTGGTGCAAGGAGAATGGAGTCTGGAGACAGACGCTGAATCAAACCATGGCTCCAGCTGTTACCATCTCTTGTAATCTAAGCTGTCTTAGCTTCCTCCAAGGCAAGGCGTGTAGCTAAATCATAGGACTGTTAGGAATATTAAATGAATACATCTAGAACAGTGCTTCACACAGAGAAGGTGTTCGGCATGTGTCCTTGTCTGCCTTTCCCTGGGAGGCACCTTTCTGTTCTCTAGAGATGTTTCTGATTAGGGCCGCACTGGCCCTCTCCTCACTGACCTGAATGCAGCCCTTCCAGGATTATGTAAGAAACTGAACTATCTCAAGAATAAGCCTCCTTTCTGGAGGTAAATTTCAGAAAAATCAAAGCCAGAGATACTAAATAGTGGAATAAGAAATACTGGTTTATGTTAGAAAAGTCTACTGCTCATAAAAAATAATTATGTATTTTTCATATATTAATGTCTATTTTGCAAATCATTATCTACTTCCAAGAGTAACAGTTTATGTCAAAAATAAACAGTATTAATATCACCGATTCTATTTATTTTACTGGCTATTATCTTGAAAGGAAAAAATCAATTCAGTAAAATGTCCATAAATTATGAGATTTCATCCAGTAGTCTACTGTCTTTTTACTTCTTTCTACATATTTCCTATTTCCATCTGACAGGTCAATTTCCTTTTCTATTGCCAATGATGGTAATTCTTTAACAATCTTTTTAAAAGTGAAGAAAAGTTTTAAAAATAACTAAATTACATCATAACAAAAAATTATATTGCCAACAGAAATTTAGTTCAACATTTAAAATCTTTATAAAAGATAAACAAACTTTGATCTTTCCTTTATTTCATAACTGAAAAATGAAAATGCTTAACATGAATATCTGATACATAATTTCCTTAAAACTATATATATTTAAAGAGTGTATATTATTATCAGCACTCACGACAATTTCAAACCAACTAGCATTGGTATAGCTTCAAATCACTATTAGTTGTGGCTATTTTGGAGAAAAAGGGTACAAAGCTTATTAGGGCCTTAGCACACAAGAAAGACTTACTTTTACATAGTCACAGAGTTCAGAAGTGGCATCGCAGTGCAAAGACACTACAAACTGCCATCTCTCTCATATGTATCTTAAAGCAGGCTGGAAAAATATTCAGTACCCTATGTATAATAACTAAAAAAAATACTTCCATTGGCTATTTTTTGCCTCGAGTGATTAAGGATCCCCCCCCCATTTTTTTTGTGCTGCTTTATTATCTGATAAACTGCTAATAAGCTCCCATTAGTAGTTCTTTAGATATTAACCCAAGTAGTCTTGGTCTTTTGATCATATATATATATTCACATATATATGCATCCATTTTTTCAAGTAAAGAAATGTTTAACAGATGTAAACTATTTATTGAATATTTGCCACCAAATATTGTTAAATACATTATCTTGCAGCATATCGCTTTCAAGTTAAAATGTCAGAAACAAACACCAATATTTACAATTCTTTTAAGGAATGTTATATAATGACACATTAAGGCGTAAATTCTTTTGGCTTATAATTCTTAAAAGAATGATAATAGCAAAAGTGATGCAAAATCTTCAGTGTGAGATTATGATTAAGCTACATTTTACAAAAATATGGTGTAAGATGGCAATAATCCCATTCAACATCCTGGATTAGATCCCTTCAGGAGGGACTGATAATTTATACAGTCAAACTTTAAAATTTACAGATAAAGGCAGTTCAATACTGCCACTGAGAAGTACATCTCTGAACATATACAACTTTCAGGCCACAGTTTTGAAGGTCTGAAGTATCAAGTTGGTTTGATGAATTAGTCGGTTGGCACTTATGAACACATTTATTGCCCTGTTCAAAGAAAAAAAAAAAGAAAAAAACATTAATCTTATCCAAAAAATTCATTACTTAAAAATATTTATACTAATTCCATCTACTAACAGTAGCAAAGAAATCAACTTGGGAAAAAAAGGTAAGTTAGTATGGAGTATCATAACTTGTATTTCAGATTGGAGTTCAATGGTTTTCAATCATTTGACACTAGGAATTACTGCCCCCTAGTGGCTCTGGTTGACAATTAAGTGTTGGAGGGCTACTACTGACAGATGGCACCTGAACCATCTGTGTTTATTTTACTTATAGGTCAAACAACTAACTGATTCAAATGTACTCTCCAGCTATGATTTCAATGAAGTTAGCAACATAAAATCTGCAAAAGTACTACACTCAGTCTCAATGTCATTGGGCATTATAAATACTTAAGCAAAAGTTAATTACTTTCAAATATGATTCATCCCAGTCTATTTTTAAAACAAAATAATCATGCAGTTTCAATATTTTGGAGCTGACAAAATATAAAAACATTCTAAAAAATTATGCTGTGCTATCCCACATTTCCTATCAGGCCATCTCCATGTATCTAAAAGACAGAACTGATGCCCTAGTCCATTATGTGGCCTTACCAGTTCCTTAATTGCATAAGTAAAGACTTTACTTCCATCCCGGGCATTTCTTAAAAAAACAGGAACGCTGAAGAATTAAGTTGAATCAATGCAAATTCATCCCCCTATTCAAAGACAGCTCAAAGATCAGGCTGTAGTAGTAACTTCCAGTTTTAGGAAACAGGTACAAAACTCACAGCACATTATTTGTACACAATTGTAATTGTAATTTAAAGAAGCTGCTGAATGGAGAAAAAGTAATAGCAGCCTGAATAATCCACATGCCTGTCTGAACTGTTAAAAATAACTGGGGCAAAGGCAGTGGGACTTTTAAGTGCTGAACCCACATGATTCTAGACAAAGTAATTTCAGATTAATAAAAATTAGGCTCTAAATGAATTTCGACCTTTTAATGTTTATTCTGTGATAGTTCTTAATTAATTAGAATGAGAAATAATGACCTCAACATGTAATATTCTTTTAATGTGTATTTGGTTATCTGGGCTTAGCAGAGATCAAGGAAAATGGATATAAGTTTATTTTCAGAACACGCTTGCCAGCTTACTAAACTAAAACATTTCCCACAGACAACTTGAACAGTAGTAGAATGGAACAATAAAAAATCATTAATATTTTAGCTCAGTATCTTTAGTTCATAATATAAATGGTTTGACCTATTTAAACGATTAAAAATAGCTTTAAAACCAATAGATCATGCTAATGTATTATTATTTTTAAAATATTATTACAGCCCTGGTCGGTGTGGCACAGTGGGTTGGGCATCGTCCCACAAAGAGCATGGTCACCAGTTCAATTCCCAGGCAGGGCACACGCCTGGGTGCCTGGGTTACAGGTTTAGTCCCCACTCAGGAGGGTGTACAGGAGGCAACTGATATTTCTCTCCCTCTCTTTCTCCCTCCCTTCCCATCTCTCTAAAAATAAATGAATAAAAGTCATTTCAAAATCTCACTGGCATTTAAAACAACTGAACCCAGGAGAATCTGATGTGCAGACAGGGTTGAGAACCATTGTTTTAACTTTAGTGCAGCAGCACTTAACAAACCTACAGCATCAGTATCATCTGGAAACTTCTTAAAAATAACATGCAAATTCTTGGGGCCACCCCTGACAATAAGGAACTCTCAGGGTGGAACCCAAAAGCAATTTGTGCTTTAACAAGCCCTCCAAGGGATTCTGATGCTACTAAGAAAATTGGGCCAATAAGCCAAATCTTACCTTGTTTCTGCATGGACTGCATGCTAAGAATACTTTTGTGTTGTTTAAATGGTAAAATAAGTAAAAACAAAGGAATAGTATTATGTGACAGGTGGAAATTACACAAAATGCAAATTTCAGTGCCTATAAAGAAAGTGTTGTTAGAAAATGGCCATAGGGCTTGTTTCCTTATTATCTACGGCCACTTTCACACTCACTGCAATAGCACAGGTGAGGAGTGAAGCTGCCACAAGCCCACCAAGCCGAAATTTGCTATTGGGCCCTCTTCAGAAAAAGTCCACCCACAACTGATCTAGACTGCTGTGGCTCGGTTATCCACCATTCAATTTTTATTATCAACAGTTTATCTTAGTAGTTGATATGAGTATTAACAATACAGTTTAAGGGCTTCATTTTCATGGTTTTAGTATCGTATGAACAATTTATTTAATTTTAAAAGAGAAGGCCTTGGCTGGTGTGGCTCAGTGGACTGAGTGCCAGCCTGTGAACCAAAGGATTGCTGGTTCAATTCCCATTCAGGGCACATGCCTGGGTTGTGGGCCAGGTCCCCAGTGGGATGCATGCAAGAGGCAACCACGCATTGATGTTTCTCTCCCTTTCTCCCTCCCTTCCTCTATCTCTAAAAATAAGTAAACAAAATCTTAAAAAAAAAAAAAAAAGAAGAGAGAGAAGGATTGCCCTGGCTGGGTAACCCAATTGGCTGGAGCACCTTCCTGACGCATCGCGGCTGCAGGTTCAATCCCTGGGCAGGGCGTACACAAGAATCAACCAATGAATGTATAAATAAGTGAAACAACATTTAATCTGTTGTCTCTCCCCCGCTTACTCTCAAATCAATGAATAAAAAGTAAAAGAGAAGGGTAATACATAAAAGTACTTACTTGCCATCTTTAAAATAAGTTTTAAGAGTATCACTGAAACTTTTGGAATACTTTACAAATTCTTTCTTTTGGTGTTCAAGTGCCTACAAGACATAAAAAAAATTTAAATACTAAGAAAGAAGAGAGAAGTAACACAAAAGCCAAAGACAGAAGATCATTTCCAGTAATCAAACTGTCTTGGTATTTAATTCAGTAAAACAACTAGGTGTGAACCCCACTCAGGTGGCAGTGTGTAAGGCTTCTAGTGACTTACCCTGCGGTTCTGGTATTGATATTTCTTGAAGACATTATTCACTGTATCAAGAAGTTCTTTTATTGCACTAGCTATATCCCTGTCAGATAAGGAAAAAAAGAATCTTCTTAAAATCCATTGCATTTGAAAGAAGTTTGTATGTATATTTTTAAGAATTACTATCCACACTGTTCATGACCACACCAACACTCCGTCCAGCACAAACATCTGACTGGCTGCTTGAGTGGGAGTTTTCCCACGCACCCTTCTGTGATCCCAACTCCCTACACTGCTGACCAAACATTCCACAACATCAAGTTTCCCAATTTAGTACACATTTCATTTAGCCTTACTTGAATTTAAAAGAATATGCCTCTGCCTCTCATCTTTTCCAGTGATAATTTTCCCTTTCTCTCATTAATATAGCTAAATTCAAACTACCATATGCTCCACTTTTGCTATCGCATGAACAATTATATGAAATTTTGCTATTATATGTAACTCATTTCTCATATTAACCAACACTTTGTTACATACCCAATACTTGGATGTTTTAAAACACTTCCTCCTCAGACATAGCTCTTCTGGCCACACATTTACCTTCTATCTAACAACTACGTCCCCTCCCCATTCCAAACCTGTACGTATATATTTAAAGTATATTTAAATTTCTGGGAGAGACAAAATCAGAGTATTTTCCTACCTTAACCTTTCCCGTAATAACCCTTCGCTACATCTACATGCATCAACACCTCCCTCCCCCACTGAAGAGAAGAAATCCATCAGTTCTCATCTGACTACTCCTTCTATGCCATCATTTCTTTTGAATTCTTGCCTTTTTTATATCTATGCTCTTTTCAATTTTCACGTTCTAACTCCATAACAATTGTTTTGTCAAACTGCATTTAACGTAGTTCTGCATTCACAGTCTCACATTCTCCAAAGCAAGCCTTCCCTTTTTCACAACCACTCTCTTTGCTGCTCAAATGTAATCCAAGTGCGAAGATTCGAATTAATAAAACATAAATCCAGACCATTGGAAATGAAATTTTCATTACTGACTTTTTAATCACAAATGTCAGATTTCAGTTACTTCATACCTATAACAATATTTCAGCTTTACTATTTAAAGAAAAAAGAACCTCAGTGTCTAGATTGTCCAGGTTTCAGTGTGCATATGTGTGTATTTCACAGTTCTAGTAAACAAATGTGGTAATTCCACAAATTATCAGTAGTCAGCATTATGGTATAAAAAAGGCATTTTAGCCTATTCCAAAGTAGTTATGACATTTCAATAAACATTTACTTCTGTATGTCAAACATCAGCATCAGGCTTCGAAACATTCAAAGTCTCAAATATTTTTTACACAGAAGTGACATCTGCACACTTTTCTTTTTGCCTGTAGTTTAACTGTTCCTTTCATTTGTTTTTAAGCAAGTTCTAAGTCCACCTATGTTCAATAAAACAGTGTCACATAACCATATTATGTGAGAAAGTCACAATTTCAACGTGTAAAAGTTCTCTAATCTCTAAATATGACTCTTCATATCCACAATGAGCCTATTTAAAACAAAGTACAATAGAGTACATCATACACTGATCAGAGAGCTGTTTATACAACCGTACTTTGTGGTATACTTTAAAATTCTGCTACAAAGGATAAAAATGTCCTTTCAGGGCTAACGAACAACAGGAGCATATGTTCCCTATACAACGGTAATGGCTGGATTGCATAGGTCAAAAGAGCAACTCTAAAGCTGCTGGTGCCCTCACTCACCCAGGAGCAAAAACAAAAGGGGAAAGAGTGCAGGGCAAGGAAGAGAAGGAGGGTTTAGTGGACAGTACTCCGCCGTAATAATAAATTTTGGGAATTTGTGCTTTAAAAGAAAGGGGGGGGAGCTCCTGGGTGATACTGGTGATAAAGCTGGTTTGGGAACCACTGGTGTGAACCCAGAACCTAGAGCTGAGGTCCATTATTTGCTACAGAGCTTTATGAAGACCAAGGCTTTAATCCTCAGGCTCAGCTTCTATAAAACGAGCACAGCAATTTATGTCAAGTATCATGTCATCTGTATGTACACTGAACGGTATTTTCATTTATGGCACCAAGGAAGATAAAACTGTATTAGCCAATAACTGAGGGCTTGTTTCTTACAGGAGAAAATACCAGCACCCCTGTCCACACAAAATACTCCAATTAAATAGACAGATAAAGAACTAGGGAAAACTCGAGGGTAAAAGAACTATAGCATAATCATATGCTGAAGTTAATGGTTTCTGTGTTAAGGGACACAGCATGAGTTGATAGGGATGGATTTTAGCAATCTGCAGCTATTCCGTGGGGCAGCTTTGGAAACACACATACTGAAAGAGGACATAAGGCACTGGATGAAATATAAACATACATCCTATCAAAAAACTGCACAGAAATAGCAGAGCTTCTAATTGTATCACCCAAATTTGTAAATGTTTATGCAAATACTCTAGAGGAAGGAAATTCCTATGCTTATGTTTATTTTTGTCTAGACTGGACACCTCTGGAAAGGCTAACATGAAGCCATCATTGAAACCAAACCCTGGCAAATTTTTGCCTATGAATATGCAAATACATATTATAATAAACAAATACATAAACACACAGCTTTATGGTCTAGTGAATCACAAGCCTCCACTAGTCATCCATTAATTGGAATGTGTTGGACTTGAAAAAAATTCCATGAATTAATTTGATAAAATATTTGTATAAGCTCAAATGTAGTTAAACAGAAACATTCATTAATCAAAAGTACTTTATAAAATATCTGTTTGCTGGATCGTTTTTCCTAATTAACTCCACAAGGAAAAACTGAAAAAACCCAACCACCTTATTTCGCAAGGCTAGTACACGCTGAGTGGCTTCGAGGTTCTGTGCTATCACATCTTCCAGTTCCCACTACCACCACCTTCACTTTCGCAGGCAGACATTGGAATGACAGAAGCAGAGCATCCTGTGCAAGGCCAGACAGTGAGATGCTGGAATGGAGAGTCAAACCCAGCTCTACTGACACGCACAGAAATGCCCGGGTATTTGTTAGCTGACAGGAATCATTTTTCTTCTCTAACATAATCCAAAGGATCGTGTACAGTACTTGGGATAATAGGTATTTGATACATATTTACTGGAAAAATATTGCTAAAATAAATGAATAAAGAACAGAACTACCTTAAATATGAGAAAGTCAAATATTTTAAAGAAAACCAGGACCTGTACTATATGTACAATATGTGCCTAAAGGATAAACCACGTTTTATTTCAGAAAAATGTTAGCCATTAATTTGTTAAAACAATTTAACAGTGGTAACAGTATGTATCAAAATCTTTCTCAGTAAAACAAATAACTGCACCTTTAGCTATATATGCTAATTCATACATCACTGAATTTTAAAATAATACATATTATAAACAAACTTTCCATGGCAAATTATTCCTCCTAAAATGTTTTAAAAATACCTTTGAATTGCCAATAACCTTAATCCAGTTGTGCTGAGTACACTCCAGAGAAGAGAACTGAAACATCACTATTGCCCCATAATGAGAGGCAAGATCCTAATGCAGCTTCTGTCAGTGACCATGGATAAGACTCTTAGGTTCTTGACCTGAATATCCTTATGATTAAAATGTGGCTGCTAATAACGGGGTTTTCAAACTGTATGTCTCTAGAGCCGTACTGGGTTTAGCGTAGATGCTGCAGGGTTTCCACAGGTGGGAGAGAGGGAGTCAGAGTAACCGGATCACAGCTCTGGGCCAACCACTTCACTCCAGCTTCAACCACAACAATAATCTCCCTCTTACCTCCTGACATCCTATGTAAGATTCCCTTTATCACACTTCTTCCAAACAATAAAAACTTCTCATTTAATTACCAAATTAGATCAGCATTATGAATCTATGATAGGGAAGCAGCAGAGAAGACCCTGGAATCAGTCTACTTGGTTCCAAATCAAACTGTACCTATTTATCAGCTCTGCGAACTTGGGAAAGTTACTCAATTCCCAATGTTTCAGTTCTTCGTCTATTACAGGACTTTGTAGTAAGTTCATATGTGCTTTAAAAAGTGCTTAGTATGTAAGTTCTATATAAGTAACAGTATTATTAAGATGTCAATTCTGTAAACCTCTACTTCAGTGACCCGAAGCAAAATTTGCTGAAAATACTACTTATAAAATGTCAAATCTTCATAGAAATGTAGTTTAGATCACTAAAAGAAATTTAAACTTAATTACTAGAAAATCTAGATATAAGTTGTAAATAGCTGTGTTTGAGATCACTGACAATTTATGCTTTTACAGGACAAACATGTTTACTTTACACCTAACTAAAAATAAAAACCCATGAACAGTTGATTGTCTTCTTCCTTCACATGATAAAAACAGTTAAAGGATGTTGGGCTTCTCATTAGTAGTAAAATATTTACTTTAGTGTGTCTTCTGTTGCACAGATTTTGACTAGTCGATGAAGCTTTTATCATCCTTCCTGGTCCTTAACTAGAAGACTGAAAAGCAGGTCACTCCTCGACAGCTCTGTTGGGTACCCACCACGTGTCAGGACTTTCTAAAATGGGACACATGCCTCTCTGTATCAGTCAAAATGTAGGTGCCCAAACAAGCTGCAATAGCACTTTGCAATGCAAATTATAGAGAATGCTATTTCTGAGAAATGAATGTTGATATTCCAAGTGAGCCTCTCTAACTCTTTAAAGATATGATGTTTGATGCAACCACTAAAAGTTTCCTTTCCAGAAATTTCTAGCTGTGGTTTCACCAACAGGTTGCGTTAAAAGCGCCACTACACCACTACAATTATTCCCAGGTTTCCCTGTTTTCCATCCACTGAGGTTGAAGAAAATTTTCCAAGGCTTCAATTTAAAAATACTCATGCTGAAGTTATGGTTATAGTTCCCTCCTCATTCCCCCACTCTCTTGCCCCCGCGGAGAGCACCCTGGGTTTGGAGAACCACTGCTCTAGGGCGACTCTTCTCAATGGCCAGCCTGATGGCCACACAGTTTTAGCCTTTTTAAACCTGAATCCCAAAGGCAGGGGTTTGGAACTTCACAATTTTGATCAATATCTGAAATACTATTGAAGATGAGTACATGACTTGTGCCATTTCTGAAATAAAAACAATACTGGTTTCCTTTGTTGTCAATCCCGATAATTTATCCAATTTCTCTATTTACTTTAATCTGATGTTTTCATTTTTCTGCTTTTATGTAGTTTTAAACTATATTCTAGTTGATGTACATTTCACTCATTGTTTAAAATCAAACATTCTAAAAACAGTTATTGTACTCTGAAGCCAAATGCCACCACTTAGAAGTTAATAAAGATGTAGCATTTAAAAACCCCAAATTTACTTCAAATGAACACTTTCATTTAATATTAATGTCATACCAAAATAAAACATCTAGAATGAGTGGTCCCTCTGACGTACTTTGAGAAAAAAAGGGCAAACACAAAGCGCTGCTTACTTGATTGTCTGCAGAAACCTCACTCTGTCGTTGATCTCGTCGGGGATCTTACTGAGGATTTGTTTAAGTGCTCGTGCCTTTTCATTCAGGTCCTGGAATTCTGGCTCTGGTCGTTCAATCATATACTCTGATTAAATAACCACATAATAAAAAGTGTCATGAACTCTGTCAAATGCAAGTTTCAGAATTCTCAGTGTTGGTCAAGAGGGAGGAGAGAGGCCGGATAACTAAGAAAGGTAAGGTTGCAAAGCTGGATTTGTTAGAGTTCAATTCAGTTTGGTAATAGCAGGACTCTTACTATGTAAAATAACAGAAGATGAAAGACTATACATTTTCAACTTGGGGTAAATTAGCTCATGAAATCATGCTCAATAAATAAATTAAAAGGTAATCAATCAAATTCATCAGGCCTCTGAAGCTACATCTCTCAAGGAAACCTTAAAGCAATGACATTCATGTCAAAACACGATGGCAATATATATCTGCCCATGGGGAAGATGACTTTAACAAAAACCTCTATATTGAATATACAATGTCTCATTGTATCAAAACCTAAACAACCTACTAGAATTGTCAGTACGTTCTTGAAATCTCACTTAAAAACAAAAACACTACCAAACATTCAATACATGGGCTGGATTACAAAATAGCAACTTTGAAAGAAGTTCAATCAGACCCAGTAGAAGCAAAAACGTTACTAGCAGATTGACTGTACATCTGGAAATATTACAACCCTACCAATCAGTATACCATTGATTGGAAATGCTTACATTTAGGATAATAATGACTTTCTAGTAAGTTACTGAATCAGTTAAAGTATTTACTTTTATTCTCCCTAAATATGGAAAATTGTACTTTTATGTTTTTCTGAATTACTGGCAAAATAGCTACTAAATTTAAGTGAAATCCATTTCTATTTTTTAAAAAGCAAAAAATGAGAAAGAAGCAGAAAGAATTGTTATTATATTGTTCTCTCAAATCTGTGCTTAAAAAAGAAACACTATTCTAAAGTTAAAAAGAAACCTCATTATTTTCAATTGCTATTTGTATAAAGTGAATATAAAATCAAATAACCATTCCATAGAGTTTGTCTTTGGCAAAACCCAAACTCATCAAATAACAGGGAAAAAATTAAAGTGCACAATATAAACACTTTACTTCAAGCAATTAGATCTGACAAATATAAACCAAAAAGAACTACTTTTCTCTTTTACATAGTTTTCCCCCTCCTACCATCACAGTAACAACAAAAAGAAAAAGGAAGAAGAGAAGGGGGAGGCTACTCCCTTTTGTCAAATAATATAAGATTTAGAAGAAGTGTTTTTGAACAACTGTAAGAAAAAGAAACTAAAAATGGAACTGCCTTTTGACCCAGCCATTCCACTGCTATGTTTATACCCTGAGAACCCTGAAACACCAATCCGAAAGAACCTATGCACCCCAATGTTTATAGCAGCATAATTTACAATAGCCAAGTACTAGAAACGGCCTAAGTGCCCATCAGTAAATGAGTGGATCAATAAACTATGGTACATTTACACAATGAAATACTACACAGCAGAAAGAAAGAAGGAGCTCCTACCGTTCGTGGCAATATGGATAGAACTGGAAAGTATTATGCTAAGTGAAGTAAGCCAAGTGGTAAAGACAAATACCAGATGATCTCATCTATAAGTGGAAACTAATTAACAAAACAAACTGGCAAGCAAAATATAGTCAGAGACATTGAAACTGCCAACAAACTGACAGTAACCAGAGGGGAGGGGAGAGGGAAAGAAGGGAAAGGGAAGTAAATGAACAGGAATGAAGGATCCATGGGCAGAGCTATGGGGGGAGGGGGGACAAAGGGTGGGAGATGGGTGTGGGGAGGGCAGGGGGAAAGTGATGGTGGAAAAATGGAGACAACTGCATTTGAACATCAGTTAAAAAAAAGGAAAGAAAACAAAACTAAACAAGACTCATGATTACCTTCTACATCATCAGCGGCCATTCGAAGAAGGGACTCTGTGAAGTTAACTTCTACACTTTTTTTCTCTAAAATTTTCATAATTATGTCTTGTGTGAGTCCTGGATTTTCTTTTTCAGCCTGTAAGAAAGAGAAAGCTAGTTTTGAAATACAGAAACAAAATCAGAATTTCAAAACCAAAACTTAATTGTTTAGAACCTTTGGGAGCTTAGACTAATCAACTTAAAAGGTCAGAAACCTCTGTAAAGCAGGTGTGGTCGTCTGTTTTGTTAAAACATCAGTAACTTGTTACAGATGGGGTCCTATTTTCCATTTGAACATAAAGTACTTAACATTTCCTACTTCTCCTTTACAATCTCCAGCAATCAAAGATATAAATAAACATTATATATATTTTGGTAATCCATCAATTACTGTTTTCAGTAGTTTAAATATACTGAAGACTTATAGCTTTTTTTCATTAGCTAATCTTTCACCTTGAGGATCAATCAACTACTCATCTCACCAGTATTTTGCAGATTCTTTGCATTTAAATTAACAGGATGTCAGAAAAAACAAAAACAAAACAAAAAACAGGAATTCTTTTGCACGTTTTGTTGAAGCTATACAATCCCTTAAATACTCTCCCACACAATGATTTTCATTTTGTTTTATTTTTGTAGCATGAATATTTCCTGCACTAGTTTTCAGAACATCATCAATCCTTTACTACCTCCTGAGTTTGCTTCACTAATTGAGTCTGCATTGCTTCTGTGTTACCCCTGGGCACTACAATCACCCCAGTCATTTCCGTTTCAAGACTGAGCACAAAGAGTTCTGGGTTTACCAAAGTTAATTTTAATTTTCAAGAGCTGAGTTTTTGCCAGTAATTCTATACTATTTCATAGTTGCTTTTAATACTTATAATTACACCCTGAGTTTGTTTCTTTTAGGATGACTATGAATTTTAGTCTATTATTGTTTCTCATTAGATTTCAGTATCAAAAACTAAAAGGTTGTGGAATGGAATGGAATGGGAAAACAAAATACGCAACATTCAATCCTGAGATCATTTTAACTTTTGTCAAATGCTATTCAGGGAAGTCATTATGACAGATAATTAATAACAAAGAAGAGTGCCCTACTGAATTCTATTTCTTTTAACAACAGTTCCCCCTTATCCCTGGGGGATATGTTTCAAGACCCCCAGTGGATGCACAAAACCTTGGACAGTACAAACCCCTATACATACAGATGTTCCTCAACTTATGACCCTACAAGCCCAGGACAAATGGAAAAATATCCTAACTCAAAAATGCATTTCACACACGTAAGCTACTGAACCACTGCAGCTTAGCTAAGGTTACCCATGCTCAGAACACAGTATCTGAAAAACACTGGTAACACAGTACACTATTGAGTATTGGTTGTTTACCCTTAGGACTGCATACCTGACTGGGAACTACAGCTGGCTGCCGCTGCCCAGCACCATGAGAGTGTCAAACCACATGTCACTACCCAAGGAAAAGATGAGAGTTCAAAATTCCAAGCATGGTTTCTACCGAATGCAAATGGCTTTCAAGCCATTGAAAACTTGAAAAATCGTTGTCAAACCATTGTAAGTTGCGGACTCTCTGTACTATGTTTTTCCTAGACATTCATATCTATAATAAAGTATAACTTATAAATTAGGCACAATAAGAGACCAACAATATCTAAGAAAAAGGAACAACTGCAACAACACACTATAAGCAAAGCTTGGTGTGACTCGCTGCACGGGGTCCCTTGCCGAGGTCTCCACACAGGCTTCACATTTCCCAGTGCAACATGTTTCTGTCTCCTACTGGAACATTCTCTGTTCATGTCTTCACCCACAAATTTAATGACTTTTTTACTTAACTAAACAAACACTTATCACTCACCGTGCCCATAATTTTTGCACAGTTTGAGGTGCAACAGCAAACTTGCACGAATTTCACAAATTTCTTTTTCTTTCTTCACAATTTCATGAACAGAAGATTTGTTCTTACCAGAGACCTTACCAACCTCAACATACAAATACTTGCTTTCCTTATTAGGTTGAAAACTTTCACCTTTTTGCTAAATGGATGCACTTTATGGCATCTCTTTGGCATAACTGAATTGCCAGTATAACTGCTCTTGAGCTTTCGGGCACTTATTAAGTAAGCAAATTAAGGTTATTTAAACACAAGCACTGCGACACCACAATGGACTGATCTGATCACTGAGAAAGTGACTAAATGGCTAATGGTGAGGAGCACAAACAGCATGAAGAGGCTGGACAAAGGGATTCATGTCCTGGGTGGGACTCAGCAGAATGGTGGCGTTTCATCACAATACCCACAACAGCACAAAATTTAAAACTTAAGAACTTTTTATTATTATTATTTCTGGAATTTTAGAACTTACTACACATTTCAAATTTATAGTTCAAAAATTATAGAAACTATTTATGGAACTTTCCATAGAATGTTTTTGGACCTTAGTTAATCACAGGTAACTAAAGCATAACTGTGGATAAACTGTATAAGCTATTTTGATTTTTCTCCCACAAATATATTTAAGACAGAATCTATGTAATAATTTAAAAAAAAACACAAATAAAAAAAAACAGGAGTTGTCTTTAAAAGAAAATAGAGGAGAAGAGAGAATAAGGGGGCTAATTGGCAATGGAAAAATATAGCTGTACCAATATAACTTAAGATGTTATAAACTTTATTAATGTGATGAACTGTCACAAAATTACATATAGAACACTATTTAAGTAAGTCAGTATTTGATAACTGATTTATCTTTCCTAAGTAGCATAAAATTATCACACCACATTATCCTGGGAAGCAGGGGAATGTTCCCTACATGCTTCCAGACAATACCTGCAGAAAACAATCTTCTAATAAAGTTAAAACAAGGCACTGAAAAAATTAAATGCTGATCCCTGGCTCAGTGGATTGAGTGTTGGCCTGCCAACCAAAAGGTCGCCAGTTCGATTCCCAGTCAGGGCACATGCCTGGGTTGCGGGCCAGGTACCCAGTGTGGGGCGTGAGAGAGGCAACCACACACTGATGTTTCTCTCCCTCCCTTCCTCTCCTTCTAAAGATAGATAAGTAAAATCTTTAAAAATATATTAAATGCTAAAAGCCTGAAAGCAAAGTTTTCAATACCAAGTTGTTCTAGGGCCCCCAAAATGCCAAAGCAGGAACATCACAGAAATCGCACAGAGGCTCCTAACTTTCTCAGTGCAGTGTTCTTTGTGCCAAAAGAAATACCTAACAGTGCTGTGTATTACACAGTTAGGTTCTAACAACTTAATAAATGCCATCCTAACAACTTAGTAGCCTTTAAAAATATACAAATTAAAAGTATTTAATTTCATTCTTAAATAACCTTAACTCCTTTTTTAAACGGGATTTATGCTCCCTGATAGGCACTAAACAGTATTTCACATGCTGGATTAGATTGGACACTCTCTCCTCATTTCCTTTGATTTTCTTGTAGTACTTGCTTTTTTATCTCAGCAATGGCCAAAAGTCCAGCTAACACAGACATGACATCACTGAAAGGAATGTAAGTAACCCAATCAAATATGTTGAAACAGTAAACTATGGCAGCTACTAGTTCAGGGTCAAACAGATGTTGACTATTACCATGTTTCTTCAAAATATTAAAATCTCTCATGACCTCTTGTGGGGCCAGGATGCCTTGGCACCTAGTTTGAGAAAAGTTGTCTGAGGGCCTTCTATTTGACATCTTACTTAAACTACTTATTTTAAAAGCACTAAATTTACCCAATGACTCTGACAAAATAAGATAGATCCACCATTAAATCAGAGACTCTACACCTACAGATCCCACTCCCCCACCCCCCCGCCCAGAATAAAACTCTCAACTCTCTGGGTATCCAGTTTTTATGAAGAATTCAATTGTGAGAGTAAACTACCCCCAAGGACAATAATATCCACTTTTCTGAATCAGGGATTCTCAACAGCATGACCTATCAGATGGGAAAGGAATCAAAAGCAGAACAGATATCTTAAATGATAATATTCACTACTATTATTTTACCTTGGAAAAAGATATTTTAATCCTTTTCCCCCAAATAACAAAAATATTGAAGCTTGATAAATATTAACTGTTGTTGTGGACCAAGAACTGGAGATACGCATATAAATACAAATAAATGGCTGGGTGAGACTTTTCAATCTTCTTCAAATAAGTTATAGTTTAAAAGGCACAAAAATATCTTTCCCATGCATGCCCTCCTTCAATTTCACATGAAATTCTACAAATTAAATATGATAATTAAGAATAAATCAGGGGGAAAATGCAGACAAGTATAACTGAACAATAATCAAGTAATTAAAAATAAAAATAAAAGTAAACTAAAGAATAAATCAGTGGGTAACCGACCAATGGTTTCTTTGAAAATGACTCACACCATCCTCGGTTGAGAATCCACGCTGTGGATGACAAAATTTACCCTTGTGCCAACCAAACCTACCACAGCCACACACTTCGAACATGTTGTTTGCTTTTTACTTGTACTTCAGTGTTAAAACATGAGCTTATATTTAGGGACATTACAAGGAAAAGCTTCATGGAATTCACTGTTTTATCTCTTTTATGGATGTCATTTAGTATACTATCTACTGCTTCAGATAGGGTCTTCTTGACCAGAATATAAAGGAGAAACTTCTCTCTACTCTGGGTATCAGGAAAGCTGAAAAACTTCTGCCTTATCAATACCACACTGTTCAACCTATTATGTTTTCCTTCTTTTCTTTGGTTTCAATGATGCTTAAAATTGTTGCCATTATGCCTCCCTAATGACCAAATATGCCATTCCAAACCACACTAAGCAAAGAAAGGAAGAAAAAAATGACAATGGTATTGATTTGTTGATTCACTTCACTAACCCAGTGATTTGGCAAAGACATATTTTAAAGAAGCTAGTATGAATGCGTGCCAGGCTCCACATTTCAGCACATGTCAACGCAGTTCCGATCCAACAAATATAATGTCATTTCTTGTGGAGAGATAAGAGACATGTCTGGTTACATTATCTATGTTATCAGTTAAGAGTGGTATCTATAAACTAATCTTTGCCATAAAAATAATGGATGGATTTATAGTTTCAACTCCAATGAAACACAACTATAAATTTATTCTACATTTAAACATTAAAATACTTAGCTACTGAGTATTCTAGCTACTGATGGGAACGCACAAAAAGTAAATAAAAATTAAAGTTCTGGGCACACTGATATGTACTTTGGGGGGGTGGGGATCAAGTTTTATACATAAAGTAGGGCCACCCAATAAAAACACAGTGCAGGAAACAAATACAAGGCCCTGTAATTTTAAACTGTCTACTAGCCATGGTAAAACATTAACATATAATTCTCTTAAAAGTCCATCTAAAATATTATCATTTCAACATGTAATCAATATAAAATATTTATTACTGAGTTATTTTGCATTCTTTTTATTGTACTAAGTAAGTCTTCAAAATCTGGTGTGTATTTTATACACAGAGTGCAATTCAGCTGGAGCTAGCCATAATTTTAAGTGCTCAACAACATGTGGCTAGTGATTACCAACTGAAAAGCTCAGGTGTACAGACAAGGAAAAAATTCATGCTGAATGACTTAGCTATATATACTCAAAGGGTTCTTAATTTGCACACAGGTCTTATTTTCCTACTCGAAAATACTGTTTTATAGTTTTGTTCTATAATTAAACAATATGAAAAAAATCTTTTTGAGTTAAAGTTTTACAAAAGTTTTTAACATGTCAAATAAAAAGGAATTTAAAAATCCACTCCAGTGTTAAAGAGAATACTCCAAAGACAGGCAGATTTAGAAGCACAAAGTGAAAAGATAAATGTTAAGGAAAGAGCATTTGTTTCAGCTCACAGTGTGGAGAGTGTTAAACTTTGCAGAGTACACCAAACAGACACAAGATGGTGGAAAGAGCTGTCACTAAAAGGAACTAAACCGGCAATTATCAGCTGGTATCTAGATTTATGTATAAACACACATTTTAATAATCACAATGAGTATTTTGTGCCTCACCTTAATGAAAGCTGCTCTCAGCGTCTGAGCTGCAGACAGATTTACTCGTTCTAGCTGCAATAAAAATTTTAAATCACAATTAATATCAATTTTCTTAGGAAAAGCAACATTTCTGGTATTCCATTCTATATTAAGGATATTGACATATACATCATTTCACTAACAAAAATACTTGCTCATGACTCTAAATCACCCTAATTCACCAAAGAGAGGCTATCTAAAATTTTCATTAAAAACCATGAAAAGTTAAAGTATAAAAAAAACGTTCTTTATTACTTCTTTAGAAAATAAGAAATACTCTACCGTAAAGGTAAATTTACTTTAAGCACAGAATACAAAATAATATAAGTCCCAATGGAAAGAATAAACGTATTTGTTGCAATTAATAAAGACAGGGAAGGTTCAGGATTAACTCTAAATGCTCTGCTGGAAGTACATGGCGTACATGGCAAATTGTGTGTATATGTACTGAATATAAAATGACCAAAACAAAGAAAACATTTATTATTTAAGATTCTTTGTATTTACTACCTTACTCCTCCTTAATTGCTTTCCAATCCTCTCAACCAAGGATTAAGCTGAGATTAGTTTATTTTATTAATTAGCAAACAGTGCTGATAAAAGGTTTGTCTGACACTCAAACCGAAAACTATGGATCATCTGGATTTCAAAGGTGCTTATATCTACCCTCTAGTTTATCAGGAGTAAAAAACAGTTACCTACCTAAATCAAAAGTTCAGGCCAAATGCTTTCAATTTTTATACCAAATATATAAGGTTAATAATTTGAAAGATAAAATGACCTTATATTAGACAATTTATATAATTTTCAGTGAGCCAAAAACATTATACAATTTCATGTTTTAAAAACCTTCATTGTTGAAGAGTTAACTGCCACGCTTAAAATAACTATCTTCAGTTAAATTCAAATTTATTTAATCACAAAGGATTAGGCCAGTTAATAAAACCTCGATGTATATGTATTTTTTTGTTTGGGACAATATTAAATGTTCCAAAGAATTGTAACTTTTATAAATTTTTATGCAAGCAGAAAATTTCTACGAAAACCTAATGAACATATATTATGCAATAACTATTCCTTTCAACTTCTTGCAGTGGTGAAAATGTAGGTTTTCCCTTATAAATGACATACAGTGTGGGGTAAAAGTGGGTTCACAGCTGTGAGTTTATTCTTGTATTATTATTTATTATTGTATTATTTCCCATATGTAAACCTACTTTTGCCATATCCTGTATATATACACATTTACATATCAAAGCAATCTCCAACACTTTAAATCAATTTTTTTCTAAACAAGACAACAATGTCAAGAACCTTATCTCTCTATGAATTATTCACCTTCGACGGATGTAAAAGTAACAAAATCTGCCCAGAGAAATAATTTAAATCCAAAAATAAACAATGGATTATTTGTTTTAGTACTGATTTACTTTCTACGACCTTGCAAAATCTGACAATGCCTTAGTAGGTAAAAGGGAAAACGCAAGGGGACCAAGTTGGCAAGTTTAGCAAAAAAGGAATTCTGGGGAGTTTATAAAATTATTTTTTCCCCACAGAATTCATTTAGTTGTAATAAACGCCACTAAAGATTAAAATAATAACACAGTTCCTCTGATCTCAAGTTCTTGTTGTGCAAGAAGCAGAAGGAGACAGGATGAATGTTTCCACCCTGATAGAAACCTATTTCCTTATTTGGGTTAACACCACGTTCTGACCTCTTTCAACAAGTCAAAGGCCCGAGTCAGATGTTTGCCTTCAATTATCAGCAATATTAACTCATTCTGAAATGCCCTGACTGATCTGTGAAAGGGTCAAGGCAAGTAAGAGAGGCCAAGAAAAGTCAGTGAAGGACTAATAAAATTAACCAAGATCCCTTAATTTCAACATCTCTATATTTCTAGATTAAGTTTGCATGTGTGCACCTTGGAAAAGAAAGGGGAAGCTCAGACATAACACACTACATCAAACCCATGAGCTGTGAAGCACCTCACCAGAACTCTGTGAGGAGTTATTCTGGGATACATTTTATACCCAGACATCTGCAATAAACCCACTAGGTTTTATTACCTATATGATATCCACATTGCCCGGGCATAAAGGCCTATCCATATTTTTTAAATTGAACTTAATCTCTTATCTATAAATTTATCTAAATCGTCTGGAATCTATCATTTCAACCAATAATACTTAGGTAGCAAGATATGTTTTTTTCTTCCCAATTACAAGTACAAAAGTGCTTCTATTTTACACCTCTTGCTTGTAATATATGACTTCACAATAAAATCATGTTCATCTTACTAGTACCTTTCATGAGAGTATCAGGTTCTAATAATATTCTAACAACAGCAACCATTTATTAAAGATTTATAATGGACTTCATCATACAGAGTATTTTTCTAGAGAATATCTCTAACCCTCACAATATACCTGGAACTAGCTACCATATCCATTTTAGAGAAGAACAAACTCAGTTTGCATAAGTTTATGCAAATGTTAAATAACTAGTAAGTGGAGAGAGAGGTCTCATACAGATCTGTCTGGCTCCCAAACTTAGGCACAAGACATTAATGCTACCCTGCCTCCTCTCTGTACTTGCCCACTCCAGACTGGAGTCTACCCTATCATTGAATCTCTTAAATTACTTAAAAACAAACAAATTTCCGAGTTTCTACCAAGTGTAAGGAACACAGTGTGAGAGCTACAAAGAAACAGAAGGTAGTCTTGGAACCCCGGAAGGTCAATTTAGAAGTAAGCAGCTTCATGAGAATTCATGGAACCACTGTCAAAGTAGAAAGCAAAATACGAATATGAGATCTGAACTAGTCCTTGAAGAATATGGCCTCTTAAAATCATCCTCCTTGGCAGTTCTCCCACTTACGGGTTTCTTCAGGGTTGCAACACAAGGACAAAATGATTTTATGCAAGGTTAGAACTTTCATTGTGTGTCCAACACTTTTACTAATGAGTTAAGCATTTTTTAAAATTTTGGGGATAACAGTCTTTGGCTGGGGTATCTTTAAAGAACCAATACAGTCAATCTTTTAGTAGTACTTGATACTGTATACACCGTGAGTCCAAAGAAGGGAGGGGAACACGACTACACCACGCATTAATGGATAGTGGGACAAGAAGAGGCCCTCCTTGCGCCTCCATCATATTGAACTTCCATGTTATCAGTAGAAGAGTAAAGAAAAGAAAATGAGAGAGAGAGAAAAGGGTACATAACATCTCATCCCATGTAAAAAAAAAAAAAAAAAAGGTACCCGCTGAAGTACATTTGGAGGGAAATGATAGGGAGCTTAACATTAAGGTCTCTCCCCAGTCTTACATTCTGGTTTGTAAGCTCCTCCTACAACTTATTCTTGATAGCTTTTGAGAGCACTATTAACCGCAAACTTGTTAAATTTTACTCTTTGGATTATTTATAAAAATGCAGGGTCTAGCACAAGTAACATCCATTTTTTATTATAAAATCTTGTATCACAAAATCATAATCATGTAATTCTGTAACATATCACACTCAAGCACACCACATGGCATTTTAGGTGAAATGTTTGAATTAAAACTATAAATTATTACACCCATTTCATTACCTTACCAATTACACTCAAGCAGGTATTACTTCTGCTTGACCCTGTACTTTAAAAGCTCTAAGTGTCGAATGCACAGAGTTCATTTATTGTTTGCTCCCCCCAGAAGTATCAGTTCATTCCTACACTTCACTTTCTAGTATCAAGCCAGTCCCTAAAACAAGTCATTAAAATAAATACATTTAACTCTTTTGTTGCTCAAGTTTTATAGAGGCTTGTATCAAACTTTTGGTATTTTTAATGTCAAAATAGTTAGGTTACTTGATTCTGAATTGTCTAAAAATCTTGCTTCCTCAAAATCAGACATTTGCCACACTTATAGCCCTTCAACCCCCTTAAAAGATTATTGTAAAGAGGCCACATATTAACTTTGTGCTGCCAATGAGAAAGCAAAGGCAATCGTCTGCATTTTGTACATAGTAAGTTCAGTACATGTTTCTAAAAGAATCAGTTCCTGGGGTTGCCAGATTGTCTTGCAAAAAAGGTAACCAGAACCACCTTACTCATATAAAAATATTCCTTTAAAACACTGCCTAGACATATGCAAAACTCTAGGCTATGATTACAGTTTTGTCAGAAAATTACAAGGAAGACTGCTTAATAGTAACAGCTAACATTTACTACACACTTGGTACTATTCTAAGTGCTGAAATATATTAACTCATTTATTTCACTGCATTGCGAGAATAATTTTTCATCCTCCTTTTACAAGTAAGAAAACTAAGACGATTATATAACTTAAGTGACAGGGCGATTACCTCTGGATGGTGGAATTGCAGGTTAAACCCATGCCTTCACTGTGAAAAAGTATGTTTGATATGCTCAAAATTTGGGATTTGATATTTCTTCACTGAGGGGAACAATGGAATAGGTAGATAGGTAAAGCTGGAGAAATATTTCCATATCAGTAAATTAAGAGTTGCATATTCTGAGATTAGCAGAAATAGCTGCTTCAAATGCTTCTAAATAGAATAATACTAATTATTCACAAGTGCCATTTTGTGCAATTTATTAATAGACAAGCAAATAAACCTCCGATCTAAAATTCATCTCTGGTTGCAAAATTGTTATTTTTGTCACAAAATAACTTCTTCACAAATTATATTTCATCTTAAAACTGTTCCTCAAAAATGTCAGAGGAAAAGAAGATACATGATACATCTTTTCCTGAAATGAAGAAATGAACCACACATCTCTCTTCCTCCATAAACAAAAAATTAGAGAAAAATAGTAAGTCCACAAGAACCTGAAATGACACCTGGCATGAGGTTTCTATAAACTCATTCCATAATGCAACCAGGAGACCTATTTTCACAGTACATTTACAACATATGTAATATACCTGGACTCTGAACTCTGCAGCAGCTGATTAAACAAGAAACCCACTCTTTCATCTGTCCTAGCACAGCTTCATTAAGTTCAGCAAGCATCAAGCTCCCAGAATGCCATAAATGAATGCTGTGTAAGCTGAAGCACTAAAATTTCCTCAGGTGCAAGGATGTGCTACTGTCTAAACATCTGTTCTACAAAACGACTTCTAGACCCACCATTGTTATTACTGTGGATGTAAAATTATGGTGACAATGTATAAGCTTTTTAACTCTTATATTACACTGTGTACGAAATTTAGCAAATCATTTAGCTTCAGAGTAAAATGTTCATCCCCACTGTGGTACTACTTTCTATAAGATTCATTTGACAACTACTTATCTTTAAATCTGCATTGAACAGAAAAACAAAGCCAAACTAATTTTCCTATTAGTGCACTTACAGAAAAATCTACCTTAGAATTATAAACATTAATTAACTGATTAGACATCTTAGTTAAGATGTTACATTAATACACTGGAATGTCATAGAACACCAGTACTTTATTCTTTTTAACCAAACACTTCACATTTGAAGGCACAATAATTATTTCAGGCCATTCCCCAATCAAGACCAAAATTTCATCTCTATCACAAAAAGGAAAGCTACTACTACCAGCACTATTCCCTAAATGCCTATTATTTCTGAACACACTTTTAAAAATATATGATTGAGATATTTTTTAAAAGCTTGATACTGTGATGTTTGATCAGTAAATTCAATTTGAGAATTAGACCCTACAATTTGATGTAGTATCTCTCAGTCTGCCACATCTAGCGATTTCTTTTTCAAATTTCACTTCTAATAATTAGTTCTTGAACCAACTATGAATCATCTGGCAACAAGTTCTAATTCTGGGCCCATTAACCTACATATGTTTTAAGATCTCATCTGGAGAGAATCACTGCCTCTACTTATGAAAGAGATTTACACGTCCACTCACAGCCATTACTTTTCCTTTCAAGTTAACTTCCCCTATACTTGAATAAATTAGAAAAGGTGTATCAGTATTAATCCCAAAGGTTCATTTTAGCAGAATCTCAGATCCTAAACAGTTATCTTCCAAAATCACAACTAAAATAAAATCCACTATCCACACATAAAAAAGATCACCCACCCTGCCTGGCTGGCTCAGTTGGCTGGGCGTCATCAGACAAAGATAAAGGTCACCAGAACAGTTTCTAGTCAGGGCACATGCCTGGGTTGCAGGTTGGTCCCCAATCCAGGTGCGTAAGAGAAGGAATAGGTCAATGTGTTTCTCTCCCTCTCTTCCTGCCCTTGCATACTCTCTCTCTCTCTAAAAGTAAATAAAATCTTAAAAAACAAAGCAAAGAAAAATATCATCGAATTTATTAGAAAAAAAGCTTTTCTCATTCCTCTTTATTAACTAAAAAGATGAAACCGAATTCCAGCAATGCAACTGCCCTCCCTTCAAGAAAAGACTCAAAATAACCCAAATACAGAATATGCCCCCAAACTTGGCCCAACAGCCTACTGAGTCAGCTATAGAGTTAGACTACAGACATGAAAAGAGGGAGCATCTGAGGAATTGTATAATGGTTCTCAAAGTACCTGAGAAGTACAGACAATAATTTTCAAGATAGATTACTCACTACCTTTCTCCTTAAGGACTGTCTCCTTACTTCATACCTGATACAATTAAATAATTGAATATATAATTACTTATCTGCTTAAGCACTTGTGTTCACTATAATTCCTATAAAGAGGTATGTTGCCATTTTCCCCTTATACATCCAGACCCTAGCAGAATACTTAGCAAATAAATGGTTGCCATTTAGTAATTACTTACTAAACAGAAGTGAAGAACATGGTTCTGACTATAACTCTATCTAGTCTTCAAAAAAATGGGTAAAGTATTAGAACAAAACCGTGGAAATAATTACTCAAGTGTCAGTTCTAGCTGCCAGACGTGGGTATAATCAGTCCTAAAAGAGTGGCAGCTACCACTGTAGCAGTATAATAGAGAGCATTTTCAAAAGATGCCTCTCCTTGCTTCCTCTTTAGTAATAAACTTCTAAATTTCCCAACTTCTTTAGCAGCTTAGGTGTGGTCATAAGACTATATTTTTGCCAATGAGATGTAAATGGCAGTCTTGTATAGGACATTCAGAACGGTTAGGAAAGCTGAATCAGCTGGAAGTAACACCCCACCCCGCACTCCATTTTTTGCCCAATCCAGGGAACAACATAGGGCGTGCTGAAAAGGCAAGCACTAAGACGATGGAAGATAGGATAGGACCTGAGTTTCTGATGATACTCTGCCATAACACTAGCCCTGGTCCACTTACCTCTAGAATTTTTTTATGTAAGAAAAATAAATTTTACTCAAGCCACTGTTTATTTTTCTTCCATGGACACTGAACCTAACACTATCAGTAGTCAACATGTGAAGTTACAAAATATTTCTCTGAAATGGAAACTAAGTCTCTGGATTTCAAGTTGAAGAGGATAAACCAGTCTTTGTTCCGAAAGCATTATAAAATACACCAAATACATTATTATTAAACCAATAATGTAGGTGAAATGGTTTTGAAACCCATAATCTTACTCTATATATTTTACAAAGAGAGATGCAAACTTACTGGGAATGGTGGGAACGTCCAGGAACAATAAGATTAATAGTATAGATAGCTTTATAATTAATTAGATTAATAAAACAGCAAAGAAAAAAAAACCCAAAACTAATTACACAAAAAGCCTAAAGCCAGTGAATTTGGAGTCCTAGATTTTTAGTTGTAGACAATTTCTGGGGGAAAAAATCCACATATTAGGACCTTAGTTTGCCGTTAAAGGGGAGTAATTAGATTATATTTAAGAAATTTGCACAGTTCTAGAATTCTCTATACCTTAAGCATATTAATTTTTTTAAAAAGTATTGATATTATAATTCTTAGAAATTTCCCCAAGTTAAAAAAGCAACTACACCTTCTCTACATACGAAGCACTGGTATGCTCCCTTTATCAGTAAAAAGGTAGCAGTACCGACTGTAACTCATCAGGGTATTTTTGTGCCTGCTCTCCTATCTAAAACGTGCTTATCCTCAGCTCTCCAGTGCTCTAACTCTTATTTGCTCCTTTCAGATATTATCATGTCTACTCTTCAGGAAGGCCTGCCTTGGCTTCTAAAATAGGTCCCACCTACTATTTTTTTAAACTTCATAGCACTTAACACAATTTTTCATTCATCTAATTATTTATATCCTTTTGTTTAATGTCTCTCTCTCCCACTACACTGAAACTTCCAGAGGGGGAACAGTTCATTTGGATTTTCTTCCCACTGTTTTATGTCTAGTCCTGGCGTGATACCTAACATAAATGAGGATCTTTATATAAGTATTCATAATATGAAAGAACAAACAAATGAATAAATGAAGTAGTCATTAAAAAACTGCAAAGAACCCTGGCTGGTGTGGCTCAGTGGACTGAGTGCCAGCCTGAGAACCAAAGGGTAGCTGGTTTGATCCCTAGTCAGGGCACATGCCTGGGTAGTAGGCCAGGTCCCCATAGGGGGTACATGAAAGGCAACCATACAATGATGTTTCTCTCTCTCTCCCCTCCTTACCCTTTGTCTAAAGAGAAATAAATAAAATCCAAAACAAAACAAAACAAACGGCAAAGAGCCTATGACAAAATATTTACCGACTTACCTCATTAAACACCGGATACATGACTGCATAGAGGGGCATAGAAACCATGGAAGTGGTCTCAGCTTCATTCTTCATCTCTTCCATTGTCATCCTCATTCAAAGGCCAACGACAGCAGGAAAAGCAGTGCTAAAATGCAGCAGAATCTTCATTCACTGCAGTATTTCTTCTCTTTTTTTGTGTGATAAAAGAACAGGGCATAAAAGATATACTGACCTGGTTAAAGGGGAGAAAGAACAGAGAATTACTATATTAAGAGGAAACAACAAATCCAAATAATTTTCTTTTCTAATGCAGAGTTCTCATTTTATGAAAATCTGATTTGTTAACATATCTTACTTGTAAAGACAACCCTGGTCAGTGAGTATCTCTTACCCTTTTCAGACTCAAGAACTGCCCTTTCTTGAGAGCTAATACCTCTTATTAGGTTCTACTTTACAAAGCAGTGGTTCATGAACCCACTCATCTTGAACTCAGAAAGACCTCTCTACGAAGCACCATGGATTAATGATGTATCTAATTTCATTATATGCAATCTAGGAAAAAGCATCAAAATGCATAATTACAGCATTTAAACTTTTAATTATGAAATGTACAATGTATAAGTGCATATGGTGTACGAGTGAAGAATTAAGAATAAAGAATTAAGGTAACATTTTCATTAAAATCCTTTTGCTAATTATTCACTGAATTTGCCACCTAAAACAACAATAAAAATATAAGCACTATATGATTTAAGACAAATCTTAAAATTGTAATATTGCCACCAAATGTGATCCATTTGGGGAAAATAGTATGTTATATTATTTTGCCAGTGGTACTTTTTGAATCTTTGTCCAAAGCTGACACAAAAACTAAACAAGAAATCAAAGTCACTGGTAGTTTAGAATTAAAATATCAAGAATTCAGTAATATAAAAGAGAAATTTTGCCCTGAGGAGGTGAGTAAATGTGTTACTTTTTAAGAGAAAGCAATTACATTTCCTTTTCTGGGCTAAAAAATGGGCCTTATTATGTGAAAGACGAATAGTAATGACATACCTATATATTAAACAATATATACATATATTAAACAAAAAGCAATCAATTTTGAATAATTTCTACCATTTGTAAAGCATTCTCAGATTAAAAAAACATTTTTCTCATGTTTTTAGTCCTTACAATAACTTACTTTACAGTAACAGCTATTCTAATTTCACAGATGAAAAATTAGGCTCAGAGAAAGTAAGTAACTTAATCAAGATCACACAGGCAAAGGCCCAAGACTGGATCCCAGTACTTAGAATCTAGATCTGATACTCCCACAACAGAAAATCAAGTCTGAAGCGCAAACAAAGAACCTGAGCTTATTCAAATACCCAGAAGTAGAAGTTATTTATTTACTGAATGTTTAGCACCTACCACATGCAAGACGTAGTGGAAGATGACTAAGATGTTCTAATCATGAACCAGTTATCTGGGTCAGACTGTGGAAGACCGAAGCAGTCTGAATGATACTATCAGAGGCCTAAACTACACGTACCTTCAAAACTCTTCAATAACCATCCTGTTGGAGAACTGCTTCCTGTCCTTCCATATCCCGACCAGTGATGGGGAACTCAACACCTACTTAACAATCTGGTCCCATTCCTTGTGGTCCTAAACATAAGACAGTCCTATTTTTGACTTCACAGAACAAGAACAAAAAGCCAATTCCTAAATTTTATTCTATAGGGCAAGAGAAAATCATCACCCAGTGAGACCACTGATTTCAGTAGATTGCTTTGGTCATGGCATTAAGAATAGAATGGGGAACAGAAACGGAAGGGAGAGAAAACTTACATCTTTGTAAGAGATCAACAGGACATGATCATAAGAGGAAGTAGGTAAGTATCAGCTGTGGTCCTACTGTTCCTATGTAACTAACAGGGCATTTGGTAATCTACTTTTCCACCTAGAAATAAATTGTGAATACTTTTTACATAAACTTGGAACAAAGGAGAGGGGTTCAAATACAGAGAAATCAGGCAAAATGAAAATGATGAGTACTGCGTGCACAGTTTAATAGTAAAAGACATTAATACCAATGGAAAAAAGCAAGTAAATAGCAGGACAGAGTCAACAAAAGAACTTTGAAGAGCTATCTCACTGGGTGACAGAAAACAGATCATTTATTTGTTTAATAAATATGTATTTGCTACCTATGCAGCATTAGGCTTGATACTAAATAGAAACCAATGAACAAAGCTAGACAGTCTCTGACCTCATGGAGCTTCTACTATGGAAGGAAGACAGAAAAGGAACAACTGTGAATATCACACAGGGAGAAGTCAGGATGCTACACTGCTATGGGAAAAATGGATGAGAGAACTAACATTACAAAAAGCAGGTGTTCAAAAATACTCCCAAGCATGGACAGACAACATTTTCCTTCAAATTTATTTGATTTCTTGGTGAGGTCAACAGTAACACTCAAAGAGTAGATCACTTATATTCTGGTAAATTGGGGGAGGAAAATCTTTAAGAATCTCACTAAAAAGGAGATGAAACACTTAAGAAGGTGAATATACTACAGCAGGCTCAATGGAATAATTTCTTTCATTCTTTCCAACACGTGCCTAACCCTGCATATATAAAAACAGAGACAATACGAGATCAGTAAAGCAGCCAGTAACTTTAGAATTCTTGTTTACACCTGACCTATCTACCACACTAAACTTACTCAAATACTGAATTTTTACCTTTTGTCAATATGCACTGGTAGTACCATTAATAAGCAGTACCATTCCAGATCAGGAAATTACCACTTAAGATATTTATGATTCATATTAATTATATTATTTCTTCTAAACCAATTTTACAGTACTACCAGCTACTACTTATCATAACAATATGGTATTATAGCCGCAACATTCTGGGCTAAACAGACAGCTGGCCTACGACACACTTAACCACCTTTCTAAATTGCTCCTTGGATGAATTTACAACTTTTCAGCACACACATTCATTCACAAATTAGGGCCATTCATGGTTTCGTTCATGTTTATATGAGATTAAAAACCTCCAATTCCAACAAGGCTTTTTAAATATTAAATTGTTCTGCTAATTTCAGTTCAAGTTAGAATACACTGTCATTCCTTCTACATGCTTCTTCATCTGAAATGGTTAAATGGACAACCCTCAATCCAAGCAAAAACATGCCTACTACCAAAAGAGCAAGGGCCAGCTGAGCTGAGCCAAGGCTGAGGCCCTTTTGAGATGGTTTCTTCCTCTCCCTATGGGTGTGGCCGGGCGTTGACCAGCCAGGCAGCACATCACTGGCCCTCTAAGGGACACTGATATCTGGAGTGGAGTACTGATTACTCATGCACAGTCGACTGAAGATTACTGACTCCAAATCCCAAATCTGGAGAGACCTTAAAAAGTCACCTCGTCCACCCTCTCAGTACAACAGAAGCTAATGTCCAAGAAATGACTTGCCCATCACAACAATGACTAGCTAATAATAAATAAAAAGTAATGTGGATGTGGTGGCAACATAGCAAGAACTATTTGTTTCTTTCCTATGTCAAAAGTGTTGCTTTGGGGTAAAGTTTTCATTTCAAAGCTAGCTCTGTTTCTTGAGTGGTTAGCATCCACAGGGGGAAATGAAAAGAACCAGGACTACAGATACTAGTAATTTAACACAAGGTTACAAGGTATATTCTTTTCAACAAACTTCTCTTCAAAAACAACCTTTGTCACATGGGGATACCAAAACAAACAGAATATAAGCTACCTGCTTATACTTTCCCCCTGATTTTCTTGAATGTTCAAAATATCACTGCTAATTTCTAATACAATGTGAAATAGTTTTAAATATCTTCCTGGACTTAAAACAATATCATTTGTTTAGAGTGAAGTGACAACAAAAATAGGTTAAAAATTGGCCATTCCCATGCTAAACTCAGTGTTAGGAGTTTTGTCCTGCCCGACCAACAAGAGCTTGTTCACTTATAAATAACTGCACTTGGGTGTAGTAGCTCAAGCCTCAACATGAGCATTTCCTGAAACAACCTCATTTTAGTCCAGCTGGGGCAAGAGATAACTTTAGAGCCAAAGCTGTATTTACTTACAAATAAAAAGAGTGGACACAGGGAAATCCTTGGCACTGATGTATGCAGTTCTTGGGATAAGAAAGAAGCCTCCTAAGTGAATTTGACACTGAAAATGTTTCTAGGTGGGTCTATTTGTCTTGTTTTTCTCTATAGTCAAATCCAGAACTCAGCCCCTTTACCTGGTCCTAAATTCTTATAATTCCTTTACTTTCCCTCCCTAAAGGGAGAAGCTTTATTTATTTATTTTTTTGCATCTTCAACCTGTCCATGAACATTTAGATAGAAGTTTATTCATTCTAGAAGCAAGCAGAATCCATGTGTTTGTTACCATTTATAAGTGTTTCTTTTTCAGCAAAACAAGAGTAGACAATTAATAAATGCCTGTTTAAGGAATGAATTCATAAGATATGAGATGGGCAATATATAAATTGAACCAGCTTTGCTAATACTTTTCAAACTATCAAGCTTGGCAAAAAAAACCCCAGAAATCTAATTAATTCTATTAACAAAGTCTAGACCCAATCACATTTACCTGTTTTTACTTCTTTTTGCTCTCCCAAGCTCTTCCTACTATACTAATATAAGCAACAGGTGACTGTAAATAAAATCAGAATTTTAACAGAAATTTACAGTAACACCAAATAAAGTAAAACAGAAGTCAGAGGTTATAAATTCTAATATCTCATTTTTATTAGGGCTGCTAGAATATTTTTTAGATCCTGGAAAAACTGATGTGTAATACTTCAAAATATTCTAAAAGAATTTTGATTAGATTAGATTAACCTTGCTTTACACATAAGCAAGAGTCAAAAACTTACCCCACTCGCAGCACAAACCAAAACTTTCTTCATGGGAAAGGGTACAAGTGATACAGTTCCCAAATGCTGGGTTGGCCTAAGCCATCACAATCACTTCAGTGCCTACTAAAAACACGTATTCCCAAGACTACCGCATTGAAATCTCTAACACAAGGTCCAGAAACTGTGTTTTTAGCAGATAGTCCAGATGATTCTTGTGAACAGGACAGGCGGGAAACCACTAGGGTGGAGAGAACTGTGGCCAGAGTAAGAGAATCCAGCTGCTAAGGTCAGTCTCGGGTACAGAGGTAAAGTTTACTTTAACGAAGCACCTGAGACAGGGAATTTTGGTTTTGACCCTAAGTTTCACTTAATCACTGACCTTGTTTTCCCATCAGAAACAGAAAGGGAATAAAATTTTATTAAAGCCTTGAATTTTAAAATTCAGTGATAATATGTTATTACATACTGGCAACTAGTCTAGATTCAAAAGTAATCTCATGGAAAATAGTTTTTTAAAAAGAAAAATATCAGGTCATTAAAAATTATTTCCAAATTCTAATAAGGAAAGCTTCCTCAATAGTTGGCTGATTCAAGGTTTCAACTGACAACCCCATACTTTCTTCTCAAACACCAGCCCTCACAAATCATACCCATCAGGCTCCTAAAGAAACTGAATTTATCACGAGGCTGTGTAGCTCAATCTGCCCATTTCATAGCTGAAAAGGTGAAGCCGTAGAACAACCTACCTTTTACAGCCTTCTCATGTCAAAGTGTTACAGCCACTTCCAAAGGAGGGACAAAAGGGTTAGAGGAGGAAGCTAGGAAAAAGGGAGGAAGAATAATAAAGTGGGTAGGAGATCCTCCTATTCAGACCAAAATGAGCTTGAAGCCTTTGAGACATACCTATGTCTCTCTCCTTCCTCTGCAAATTATATTTTCTATAATTCAAGTTTGATAGAAATTTCTAGTTTTCTTTTTTAATAAGGTAATGTGGAACTCAACCTCCCTGAACATGTAATACTATGAAATTAGTAGTTACTGAATATTGCATTTAGAGACATCTAGAAATAATCTGTTATAGATACCAAAAATTGTTTATGCTACTCTGAAATACCAAATGGATAATTTGTGCAGAGAGGTATGAGGAAAGAGCGTAAGAATTAAAGTCTGAAAACAAGGTTCCACATCCTGGTACTTACTCTCTAATATAAATGACTATGTCTCCCTGACCAAGTCACTTCACCTCTCTATGCTTTAGTTTCTTCTACAATACAGACAAAAACGGAGCTGTATAAATGAAAAAGATATGGCTAGAAAAAAAGAATGAGGTAGTTTTTAAATCAAACCATAAAGCCTCTATGTTGAAGAACTTCATTTTACTAAGTAACTAAGCACTGCATTTTTTGCACTGTTAAATAAACATTCAAAGAGAGTATACAATCCATAATGAATTACCACCTCATTGGAAGGTCTACCCTACTCAACTGAATTTTTAAGGGCACTGTTTCTGTTTTACCACAGTTTCTGGGTATGTGGTACCACTAACTGCTCAAGGACTCCAGCTTTCCAATTTTTAAAAGCAAGATAAAAAAGATATAATCTTCAATATCTCTGTAAACATGTGTCCCATAACTCAGTTAATTCCGGATTTCCAAATTTCCCCTTACTCTTGTCACATGCTTATGCATTTAAGAAAGTTAAATGTTAAAACTTAAACTTTTAAAGTAATAACAGCCATTATATATTATCTAATCTGATCTCC